TCACCCTGCAGGTGTCAATGATGCACCTTCGAGAGGCTGCAACCTACAAGGCTCAATCACCCAGTCATCAATGAAGTGTCTTCAGGAGGCTGGTAGGTTGGCAACCTACAGGGCCCAATCACCCTGCAAGTGTCAATGATGCACCTTCGAGAGGCTGCAACCCACATGCTGGAGCAACTGCTATGTCGATGCGCCTGCTCCATTGCTTGCGAAACAGCTCCGCTTTGCAAATTACTGTGCACCATAGACATTGTAGGTTGCCAACCTACGGCCTCTCAAAGCTGCATCATTGACACCTGCAGAGTGACTTTCGAAGATGCTTCATTGACACTTGGAGGGTGACTGAGCCCTGTGATAGTGTAACAGTGTTCTTGCATCGGTTATTAGGCAGCAATCCCCATAAGTGTTCTAGTCTGCCTTGGCTGGGGCTATTTAGCTCCAACCCATGACATCGAGCAGTCCCGCTGGCGAAGCAAATCAGTGGTGTCAGCTTCAGGGAGAGAGAAGCTTTTTGAGAGCTTGCCGTCCAAGCCTTCTGATAAGGTCTACAAGCTCGACATGAGCGCCAGGGAGGTGGGCGGACTGACAATGGCCCTTCAGGGGCCGAAATGAATGGAAACCCATGAGCAAAGCCTAGTCCAGGATGCTAACTCCCCAAGTTATGGCGACGCACCAAATGCACCACTGTGGACCAACATGCCAAGGGGGAGCTGCTCAGCACCCAACACTCGCTCCGCTCTTTCCCGCACATGCGAGCGAATCACTGTGCACGTCTATGTGTTTAGTGCTTTCATGATTTTTCATGTGCTATCGGTCAACAGCTTGTCCCTGGCTACGCTCGTCACCTCGCCCAAATCTCATCCAGGCACCTTGCGCTGGGCCTTCAGCTCCCAGTAGCGCGCTGCTATAAAGGAAGATGGCCGCATCCCTGGGCGAGCGCATCGATTTGGGAACGCTGCTGGCAAACACGTTTGCCGTTTTCAACACCTTTCGCTGAAAGGATTGGTGGTCGGTGGGCCTCGTGGAAGAAAAGTGTCCCACTAATACCGTTCGGTTCGGTAGTACAGCACAGTCATTCAACCCCAATCCTAAGCATATCTCGGATGAGGAAGGTATGAATGTGACAAGGACTGAGGACTGTATTGTTGAGGTACTGACAAGATGGCAAAGAAGGCTACAGCTACAAAAGACCAATCTCCCACTAAACAAGGTCTTCGAGCAACAGCACAAGCACTTCACCATCTTAACCACCAACCCAAGGCCGAACATGCATCGACTCTTGGCAGAGTGAGCCGGATGGATCTGATATTAATTGATATGATCTGATTGCGGCACCTGAGTGCGGCATGGGGAGTCTCTCCCCAGCTGTTTCTTACTGTTCCAGTTCAGCTGTTCCTTGGTAGCTCGAAGCACTTGCCAAGGCCGAGAGCAGCCACCGCGCCTGGGCCTCGAGCCACCGCCACGCCAACTCCTGGCCGCCGCCCTGGTGGCCTCATGGAGCACTTGGCGGTCGGACACCGCCAGGACCTCAGGCCAGGAGCTTCTGAGGTCAAAAAATCACCAAAAGCATTATGAATCTCATGCGTGTCGTGTGAGAACACAGGTGAGGGATCCTCATGATCCTCGCCAAGACCTAGGAATTTCAGGTCAGGTGTCGTTCTTGCGCCTCTTCGTCTTTCAAATGACAGCTGTCTATTGCTTTTAAATGCTTTTAAGATCTTTAAAGCACGTGTGTTAAACATTTAAACATGTGTTCCAATGTTTTTCCCTAAAGGTCTGGTGTTGATTTTGTCTGAGTTTTTGATGTGTTCTGCCCTACGGGTCTCCAAGTGCAGGTGGACATCAGGACAGTTCCTGAATTTGTTATACAAACGTCTGCCCCTTGGCCTGAGGAGCTTTGCACACCTCCGGCTAAGGCTTGGACCCGAAACACAGAAAAGACAGGTAGCAGGAGTGGCTTGTGTCGGAAAAGCCAGAAAAAAAACACATGAATGATGTTGCGATGAAGCCGTTTCGGCATCAAAGGTACCAGCCTCCAACCTAAAAGACATCTCTTGGCATCAGTTGAATGAGGCATACTGAGCCTACTGAGCCTGATGTGGTGAGCGAGTTGGTTTGCCCCGCCCCTGGCACAAGCTCCCCTGCACGAGCTGTTGAATTTATGTTTGGACCACGTTTGCCCACAAGACTCTATGCAGGCAGGTCCGAGCGAACTGACCAAAACCATGAAATCCCCTTGCTCACTGCACTGCTAAACTTCTTGGTGAAATCATTTCCATTGGTCAGTCCCCCTGGTCCCCAACCTCTCAAGCAGTTCCCTTGTGACAGCAGCAAAGGCGCTGAGAGGGCCCAAAGCAAGGAAACAGGGGATCGAAGCTCTTCCTGAGTCACAGAACTCGCCATGACGACCACAGAGCTTGGGGTATCATAAAGATCCAACTATCTCCTGACGAGGTGTGTATAATAGGTGTTTGGTGTGGGTTTGGGGGGTCTAACTACCTTCTGAAGTTGGAGGCCTAGAGGCATCTCTGGATGATGATGGCTAATTAGGTTGCAACCCGTTCTCAAACAAATTTTGTATAAATTGGGTCTATCATCCTATTTCCTGTAACAGTGGATGATGCATTGGTTAGTAAAGGCCTTGTTCAAAAATGATGATAACATATATGATAATGATAACTGTTTACTGACTGTTGACCGACTGTTACAGGTAATGGGAAACACCCTACACAAAGCGAGTGAGCAGCTCTTAGAGCACTCACCAGTTTGACCGAGGACCGAAAACCCGGTCGGGTCCGCTTCCCGATTTCGGGCCCCCCCGGGACCGTCAAACTCTAAGACTCTAAACATCTAAGAATCCTAAACCCACCAAGAGGAAGGATCAACAAAGACTTAAAACCGTGCCTCTAAACCTTTTAAAAGAACCCCCTTCCGACGCCTCGAGTCTGACCGCCCAAGATTCTGACTGCCAAAGGACGTCGAGTCCTCGATCCACCTCCCCCGCATTGAGACACGCTTGCCTGCAAGGCTGAAACGTCGTTGCCTGAAAGGCTGACTCCCGAGCCGTTTGGAAAAAGAGGCTTAACCTCTTTCATCCTTTTTCTCCATCTGTGCGCACCTCTTCAAACCGAACCACGTACGTCTTGTGGCATCGTCGCGAAAACCACTCTGGTCGACAGAAAACCGGGTCACATGAAGAAGGAACATGCAAATCAAAACTAATCCATCTGTTCTGTTCCTGTTCTGTTCATAGTCAAAAAGTGGGGAAACCAATCCCACTACCAATCCCCAAAAAAAGGTTGTGGGTAGGACCAGGAAAGAAAGCACTGTTGCGTGGGGAATGGTCTTTGATCCCAGGACCCCATGCAACATGGACGGCTCCAACTGTTCTAAATATGCCAGTCGTGCAGCAAAAACAGAATGCACGCAGGGTTTTCCCAAATTGCAGTTCCTATAGCAACTGGATGTTGGTCTCTTGCTCAATTACTCTTGAAGAGGCTCTCCTTGCAGGCCTCCCTAGTTTCATACAATGTCATCTCGACCGTTTCTCAACACGTCGCCCAGGCACAGTGCACTGTCGTAGGCCATCACTTCCGACGACTCTGAGAGGAAGGAAATGGCGCTGCGCCATAGGAGGGCACTACCTCTTCACTGTTGGACCCCAAATCGGCAGTTCAATCAGCAAAAATATGCAAAAATGAGCCTGGTTGACAGTAGCCAACTAAGTCACTCAAGATACTACTACTACTACTACTACTACTACTACTACTACTACTACTACTACTACTACTACTACTACTACTAC